AGTTCCTTGGAATATGACAGATACATAGTAAACCAAGACTAGTAAATATCAATGGTGGTTTCTAGGTTGTTTGCTTTTTAATGTAAACCGATAGGAAAAAAATATATGTATCATGCCTCAAATTGACAGCCTCCTATTAATCTGTAAACTTCCCTCATTGGCATCCCAGTGCTCAGCGCTTAGTAGGGCTAAAAGTAAGCCCTAAAGATGAAATATAATGAAGGAAGAACCTCAATGCCTCAGCAGGGGAGCTCAGCAAGGCTAAGTGTTGGCTGCTAACAGCAATGTTAGTGGTTCAAACCCACCAGCTGCTCCAGGTGAAAGACAAGGCTCACTCTCCTGCAAAGATTTACAGCCGTGGAATCGCAGAGGACCAATTCTATTCTGACCTACAGTCCCAATGGTTCACTGTGAGTGGAAATGACTGAATGGCGGTGACATGTAAGATGAGCAGAGGCAGGTGATGGCCGTGGGTCAGTGGTGGGTGGCCCTCTAGTGGTTAAGAGAAGTGTGGCACATTCTGCCCAGATCTGTTTTACTGTGGTCACCAGACTAGGATCTGTTCTCCTAACCTTTAATATGTGTACCTATACATATGTTAATATTTTAAATTGTCAATTCGGTGAGGAAGCTTACATTTCTGACCATCAGGTTTGTGTTCCACAGAGTAAGTGACTTGCCACTTACTGATAACCGTGGTCTCATACAATATATACCCTTTTGTGATGGATTAATTTCATTCAGCATACTGATCTCCAGGCCCATCCATGCCAGGAGATGGTTCGTGGTTTCATCTTTTCTTCTTTTTAACAATGCACAGTATTCCGTGTGTGCATGCGCCAAACCTTACCCATTCTTTCCCCGATGGAGTTGGGCTGTTCCATCTTCTTGTCGTTGCGAACAGTGCGTTGATGAACATGGATGTGCACATGCAGTTTGTGCGATGACGATGACTTCCTTGGGTCACATAGCCAGCAGAGGGCTTGTTGGAGTATATGGAATTTCTACTCCAAGTTGTATGATAACCTCTAACACTTCTTGTTTTCCTCACTTTTCTTTCCAAGAGCCAATAAAACTATCAGTGGAAACATGTATGCTGATGGACTTGTCAGAGCAAACCAAACCAGCCTCTGACAACTGAGGGGTTTGTAGGCCCAACTGTACGGTGATAATCGATAAAGATTACAGTAAAGTCATAGAGCATAGGAAAGATAGGAGAGAGAATAAAATAGAGAAGTCAGGCACATTTCATAGTAGCATGCTCCCTCAGCCCCTCTTGGTGGTCCACGTGGAGGTGGGAGACAAGAGGAGAGATAGAGCATATATTTCCAAACAAGGCTTATATCCACTTAGGGGCATGCAACCACTCCTGACAGGAAAGGGCTGTTCAATAGGCAAACTCGTGACAGGAAGGGGATGAGCCAGTGGTGTGCGCGCAATAGGAAGGGCGGGACTAGAGGTACACGTGACAAGATGGGCAGATCCTAGATTCAAGCTGGCAGCCTAACTTTGGTCGTCCTTGAGTTGGCTTGACCTTCTCCCTGGGCTCTCCTTCAGGGAAACCATCCACTACCCTTATCAGCAGGGAGTGGGCCCCACCTAGGGTGGCACAAACTATAAGGTCTGATTGTCCCAGATGGCTGACACCCTCAGGGAGATAATTCTAAGCAGCTGACATTGAACCTCCAAGTGTGCTGTCATTTGCCATGTGTTGCAAGCAGCGTCTTAGGTTTGGCATATATTTAGGGGGACAACCTGGGGAAAACCTTTCTGTATCCCACAGGCACTGGCATATTTTGTTTTATTGCAGTTTGCAGAAACTGCATGTGTGTGTGTGTATAATTGGAGGTTTGTACAAACACTGTGTGCTCACTGCACCGTTTTTCCAACAGTGTGTGTTCACTTCCTGTCTCTATGGTACCTTTTGGTTAATTCTCACAACCTTTCAAACTTTTTCATAAAAGGAGCCCTGGTGGCTTAGTTGGGTTGCGAACCACAGGTCAGCAGTTTGAAACCACCAGCTTCCCTGAGGGCAAAAGACTGTGCTTTCTACTCCCATGAAGAGTATGGTCCCAGAAACCCACAAGGTCAGTTCTACTCGGCCCTATGACTGAGTTTTATTTCGTTTTTGGTTCCTGCATACTGAATAGACTACAGCAGGGGTGTCAAACTGGCGACCCCCGAGGTAATTTTTTGTGGCCCACGATGCTCTGAAATAAAATGTAACGAGGGAATTGTGTGTACGGTATTGCCTCAATCTCCCCTAAGCGCTATTTTCTTCATAATAGTTTTTTGTTTTCATTTTATTGCGGAGCATTTGGGGGCCGCAAAAAAATTACCTGGGGGGCTGCATGTGGCCCACGGGCTGCCAGTTTGACACCCCTGGACTACAGAATAGTGTAAATAAAACTTTTATTTACACTAGTGAGACAGGGCAAACCATCAACAAGATGGATTGACACAGCAGTTGCAAAACCAGGCTCAAACATACCAACAATTGTGAGGATCATGCAGGACAGGACAGAGTTTTGTTGTTTGACATGGATTATTATGAGTCGAAACCAACTTGACAACCTCTAATCAAACCTAACAACTACAACAGGGAGACAGGGCAGAAAGAAAGCAAAACTGCTGTAAAATGGCTTGTCCATTGGTGGGCACCACAAACAAGCTCCAGTCTTACGCTAGAGCCTCTTAGCATGTTGAGCTCTCCTTATCTTAGAAAAAACTACTGGTCATGACAGTACCTCCCCCCCTCCCCACCACTGATGCCACTTTTCTGAAACTTTGCTACTTTAGCTTTGAGAATGGGCATTTTAAAAATTCACTATAAACTAGTCAGAAACTTTCGCTTGTCACCTTGTGTCTTCAGGTTGGTCTGACCAAATATCACTCGGCAATAAGTCCCCCACTGCGGCTATACTGCCGTGGTTAGGTGCAGGGGATTCCAATTCATAGTGATCCTGTGTACGATCGAGCAAAACACAGCCCAGTCCTGCACATCCTCACTAGTGTTATGCAATGGGCTAAGCAAAGGGCCAGCAATTTAAACCCACTTTGGGAGAACCCACTCCTTGGAAGACAGTTTTCTGCTCTGCTCCTGTAAAGACAGACTAGATGGAAGTGGGTTTGGTTTTTTTGTCTTCCGCTTTACCGAACATGAACTCCTTTTCCAGGGAGCAGCTCGCTTTATTGTCTGGAACCAAACCCGCAATATCTGCGAGGTATGCCAGTACCCACTGCCAACACGTCTATTCTGAAGCATAGCCACCTTGCAGGGCAAATTACAACAGCTACCTAGGGTTTCTGAGGCCTTGAAGCCCTCTCCCTGGAAGAGCTGGTGCGTTTGAACCTACCACCTTGTGGTTATTAGCCCAATGCTGAACCCACTACAGCACCAGGCCTCCTTACCTAAGGGCTAGTGCTCAGAATTGACTCCATGACAATGAGTTTGGGTTTTTCGTTTTTGTTTTGAGTCCTGCATAACGTATTGTCTCGCATTAAATTCTTAGAAAAGTCATATCCATTGTGTCACATACACAATGTCACTGCCATCCAATCAATTCCAACTCACAACGACCCCTGTGAGTTTCCGGAAGTGTCCCTCTTTAAGAGAGTAGAAAGCCTCCTCTTTGTCCCGCGGAGTAGCTGGTTGGCTTCAAACTGCTGTCCTGGCGGTGAGCAGCGCAATGGATGACCCCTCCGCCACCAGGGCTCCTCAGCTGATTCAGAAACCCTATATGAAGGTGAGCAGACGTCCCGCTTTTGGCGGGACAGTCCCGATTTTTGGAAAGAATGCACGACAAGCTAGGGAACGGCCTATTTGGTCCATATAGACCAATTTTTTAATCAAGAAAAGGCCCCCCCCCCCCCCCCCCCCCCCCCGTAGTTTCCAAGGCTGGTAATCTTCACAGTCGCTGAAAGCTTTTCCGTGTCTCGCGGGGCGGTCCGGTGAGTTTGAACGGAGTTTGCGGTTAGCTGTCAAACTGACAGCACTTGCACATCCCACTGAGCAGGAACTGAACTCTACAGCCCCAGCCCAGACGCCAAACTCCCAGCGCTTCCAGCGCTGCGTCTCCGGAAGTCCCGCCCCACGAGGAACCCTGTCTGCGTCTCCGGAAGTCCCGCCCCACGAGGAACCGTGTCAGCCAAACAAAGCCGTAGAAAGCCGGATGGGACGCGGGGCGGGACCGTGTGTGCGGGACACTCTAGGCTTCCTCATCTCTATGATCCCTCCCCGTGCGACCTCCCAAGCACCGAGCCGCCTTACTACTGGATGAGCAGCCGCGCGTAGGCGGAACCACTCGGTTCGCTGCGTGCTGATTGGTCAGACTCGCCATGCCCAGCGGAGCCGACGGGGCTTCTGCAACCCAGACGGTGGGGCTGTCCCTTTTCGAGTTCTGAGGAGGGTGCATGTGGGCTCTCCCATCGCTGCTGCGGGCTGCGGCTGGGCGCACCATGTCGCAGGGGCCAGCCCGCCGCCAGCGGCCGCCTAAGGACCCCCTGCGGCACCTTCGGGCGCGGGAGAAGCGCGGCCCGACTTGGGAGCCCGGGGGTCCGAGCACCGTGTACCTGCAGGTGGTGGCGGCCGGAGACAGGGACGCGGGCGCCGCGCTCTATGTGTTCTCGGAGTATAACCGGTCAGTGCGCGTGCTGAGCGCTCGCCAGGCCTCCTCCGCTCCCCCTCGCCGAGCGCCCGGCAGCCCTGCCCTGGGCTCCCACGTGTGGGACTTCCCGTGACAGCGGGTGGCGGGGACGCGAGGGGCTTGCGCTGCTCTCTTAGACTTCAGATCTCTGTATGCCTGCGATGCCCGGGACCAGTAGGCTTCCACCGTAGGCTTACCTAAGCCCCCCTTTTCGAACCCCTTGGGCTCGGGGCGCCTCCCGACAGCCCTTGTCTCTTGCACGCCTAGATAGGGCCTCGCACTTGGTAGACCGGGTTGACAGATCTGGTGAGGAGGTGACCAAGGAATAATCTATATGTCCCCAGCACCCTCCTGCCCATGCCCCAACCCTCCCTGCCTCAGCTCAGCTGAGATGTGCATCTGGGATACAATGTAGCTCTTTTTAAGCCCAGAGTTTGCAGTGACTTCTCTGATTGGTCTCAGAGATTTGACAGAACAGAATCTTCTGATGATTTGGTGTAACTTTTGCCCTGTAGGTATCTCTTCAACTGTGGAGAAGGCATCCAGAGACTCATGCAGGAACACAAGTGAGCTAACCACTTTCTTGTGGGGTGGGGGTGACCAGGGCACTCGAAAGTTGATGGAGAGGCCCCATTTTTTAATGATGGGGTATGGTCTTTGTTGTTTTCATTTTACTCTGCTTATATGCCCTCGTGCTCTTAGGCTGAAGGTTGCTCGTCTGGACAACATCTTCCTGACCCGGATGCACTGGTCTAATGTTGGGGGACTGTGTGGTGAGTATTTTCTTTCTAGGGCTAGAGACGGGGAAAGTCTAGGGAATTGTCACCTGCTCTGCTGGCCTAGTGGTTGCATGTTGGGCTGCTAACCACAAAGCCAGCAATTTGACACCACCACAGCTCCTCAGGAGAAAGGGTTTCTACTCTCAGAAAGACCTAGGGGGTCACTGTGAATTGGCATTGGCGCCGGGGTAGTGAGTTTGGTTTGGGGTTTATTCCGTTTTTTCAGGGAGGGCTGGTGGCACACTGGGTTAAGCCCATTTAAACATACTTGATGGGCGGCCCTCATCATTGAGACCAGCAGGTCTGCTCTGCACATTTTCCTGTTAAAGAAGTTGCAATAAGGACAAGTGGGTGTACTGCTGGGTACGAGAGGGTTGTTAGGTGTCACTGAGCTGGTACCACAGAACGAAACTCTGCCCAATCCGCAACCACCCTCCCAAGTGTTGCTGAGCTTGAGCCACGCCCGAGTCACCCCATCTCAGTGAAGGCCTTCCGCTTGTCCGCTGGCTCTCTACCAAGCTTGATGTCCTTTCCCAGAGACTGGTCTTCCCTCGAACACGCCCAAAGAACACGAGGCAGAGCCTCCATCCTCACTTCTAAGGCTGTGCTTCACGGCATTTGTGTTTGTTCTTTTGGCAGTCCATGGTATATTCGATATTTTTCACCAACATCCGAATTAAACTGTGTCCATTTTTCTCTAGTCTTCTTTACCCATGGTCCAGCTTGCACATGCTGGACAATGATTGAAGATACCACGACTGGGATCAAAAGCGGTCCTCACAGTGACATTTTTGCTCTTAACACTGTCAATAGGTCTTATGCAGCACATTCGCCAAATTCACAGTCTGATTTGATTTTGCAGCAGATACTTCCTTGAGTATCGATTGCAGATCCAAGCAAATGAAAACTTCAGTATTTTCTGTTTCCAGGATGCGATCTTTGATCCAGGTGTAAGGAGCTCTGTTTTGACATTGAATTGCTGAGGCTCGCCTGATTTTCTTCAGCATGTGCTTCAAGTTGTTCAGCAATCAAGGTTGTGTCATCTGCATATTGCAGTCTGTGTATAAACCTCCTCCTCCTGATGCCACATTCTCCACGTAGTCCAGCTTCTCCCATTACTTGCTCAGGATGCAGATTGAATACAGTTGGTAAAAGGATACAGCGTTGGCACACACCCTTCCTCACTTTAAGCCTTATAGTTTTCCCTTGTTCTTTCCCAATGTCTACCTCTTGGTCTACACTCGGCACATTTTCCCTGATAAGTAGACATTTCGTGAGCACAACTAGGTGGTTTGGAATTCCCCTTTTTCCCCAAATTATCCACACAGTTAAATGTTCTTGCATAGTCAAAAAAAATTTTTTTTGCTTTTAGCTAAGATCCATCCAACATCAACAATGATATTCCTTATTCTACCTTCTCTTCTGAATCCAGCTTGAATTTCTGACAGTTCCCTGTCAGTGTATTGCTGCAACTGTTTTTAAATTAAATTCAGCAAAATCATACTTGCATGTGATACTATTAATATCATTAGATAATTCCTGCATTCTACCTGGTGTCAAATAAAGATTTGTGACTTTTCTTTGGAATGGGCACAAATAAGGATTTCTTCCAATCAGTTGGCCTCATAGCTGTTTCTCTCTCTCTCTCTTTTTTTTTTTTGGCAATGGCTAGTGAGCCCTTCCAGTGCTGTATTAAGGTTTTGACACATTTCAGCTGGTATTCTGTCAATTCCTGGAACCTTGTTGTTTGAAAATGCTTTCTGTGCAGCTTCAGCTTCTTCCTTCCAGACCACTGGCTCTTGATCGTATGCTACCTCTGGAAATGGTTGAATGTTGACCAGTTCCTCTGTTGGCATAGTGAGTCTGCAGATCCTTCCACCTACTTTTGATGCTTCTTGCATTAGTCAATATTTTATCCATAGAAGTCTTTAATATTGTGAGTTTTGAATTTTTTCTTCATTTCTTTCAGCTTGAGATATTCTGAGTATGTTCTTATTAACTTTCTAACTCCAGGTCTCTGCACATTCCATTATATTATCTCCTCGAGCTTGCCCTTTTTTCTGTTCAACTTTTTTACACCGTTTCTTCCATTTGCCTTAGTTACTCTACATTCAAGAGCAAGTGTGAGAGTGTCTGCTAACATCTACTTTGGTCTTTACTCTCTTTCCGGTCGTTTTAATGACCGTTGCTGTCTTCGTGCACAATGTCCTCCATGTCAGTCTACAACACCTCAGATCTTAACGTCAGTAGCACTCAGTGCGTCAGATCTGCTGTTGAGATGTTGAAATTGAGGCGGAATGTATTCAAGGTTGTATTTTGGCTCTCTTGACCTTGTTTTAATTTTCTTCAGCTTCAACCTCAACTTCCTTATTAGCAGTTGATTGTTATACTGTTGGCCCCTGGCTTAGTATTAACTGATGATAATGAGAGTCGCCATCGTCTCTTCCCACAGGTGTAAACAGTTTGAGTCCTGGGTATTTATAGTCCCTTTCATGTTGTTGAAAACGGGTTTGCGATGATGAAGTTGTTTATCTTGCAGAATTCTGCCTTGCATTCTGCAGCTTTGTTTCTATCACTGAGGCTGTATTTTCCAACCACTGATCATTCTTTCCAAGTTTTGCATTGTTAAGCACTAGGCATTATCAATGCAACGTGACTGCATGGTTGATCAGTTTCACATTTGCAGGAGTTGGCAGAATTCTTCCGCTTCCTCATCACTAGCTTTAGTGGTTGGTGCTTAAATTTGAATAATCATTAACATTCACTGAACTTCCTTGTAGGCATATAGGTAGATATTATAGTACAGCAGTATACTTCAAGAAAGATCTTGAAGTGTTCTTTTTGAGGATGAATTACCATTCCTCTTGAATGTGTAATCCCCAATATACTAAACTATATGAATATCCAATGTGAAGTGGCCAAACCAGTCCATTTCGGCTCACTAGCACCTGGAATATTGATCTGCATGCATTGCATTTTTTCCGACTTTCAATTTTGCTGGATTCGTGCTTTGTACATCACCCATTGCAGCTACGAATGATGTTTGCAGCGGTTTCTTCTCATGTTGGTTGTTCCCTATCAGCAAATGGAGGTCCCAGAAGTTTTGCCCAGGTGCGGTCATTAAGGCCAACTCTACTTTGCAAGGCAGCTCTTTCCCAGCTTAGTGTGGGTGCCTTCCAACCTGAGGTGCTGGCCCAAGCACAGACGGTGTTCCTCTGGCACCTGGAAGGTTGAGAAGTAGGCGGCTTCTCCCTGCTCCCTCATCAGCTCTTAGTCTGAAAGTGCTGTTGACACCTGTTCATGGGTCACTGCTGGTGGCTAGTTTCCAGCATCACAGCACCTGCACCAGGCACCGTGGTGTGACAAGATGACCGCTCTGTGGCAGGGCCATGACTGTACCATCTCCAAACCAAGATCACTGCCACCAAGTCGACTCTGACTCGTGGCGTGACCCCAAAGGGCAGGGCAGCGCCGCCCAGTGAGTCTGAGATGGTGATTCTTCTTGGGAGGAGACAGCCCCGTCTTTCTCCCAAGAAGCAGCTAGTGACCTTGAGGTTGGCAGCCCACCTACTACCTCTGTAAACACATTAATGAGAGCTATGTTTGGGGTGCTGATTTTGTTCATCCTTTGTAGGAATGATTCTCACATTGAAGGAAACCGGGCTTCCAAAGTGTGTGCTGTCTGGCCCGCCACAACTGGTGAGTGTCTCCTGACTCCGTTTTCCTCCCCGCCTCCCCACTTTTATGTTCGTAACAGTAAGTCACTGTCATTTCTGCAAAGTGGTCTTTCGCAGAAAGGGTTGGTATTGAGCTCTTCTCCTGTGACTTGAATACACTTACTACAAAATACTAATTGTGTGACCTTGAATGAGTTAACTTCTTTTAATCCTGTTTCTTCATCAATAAACTGGCTACAATGCCTCATAGAGTTGTTCAGGATTAAAGGAGATAGACGTATCTATAAAGGATTAAAGAAGATAACATATCTATAGCCATGCACCACTGCATAGGTCTTGCACTCTAAATGGTTTACTTTTCTTATATGTCCATTAAGTCTTTGTCATCGTCATAGCTTCCAGACAAGCCACCTTGGTGGGAGGCTGTGTGCCCATCATTGTGATCGGTCCCCCTTCCTTCCCTCCTTGTGCACCGAGAGCATGCATGTGTACATGGTTAATGCCAAAGCTATTGAATGCAGCTGTTTACTTCCTAGAAGATTGGCAACCAGCCACCAAGTCCTATCATTTCTGTCTAAAACTGTATCACACCCATCCATTTGTGAAGTTCATCAAGGCCTTCCTTGTTTTGCACCCTGTCTGCTACAGTATCCTTCCATAATCAGCCTTGTCTCTGTAATCTGCCAGTCCCACTGTGAGACCTTTTTAAAACATAAATATAGGCACGGCACTTCCGAACTTCAAACCCTCCCAAGACTTCCCAACATTGTCATGTGGTTCCTCTGTATTCTGGTCACCAGGTCACCAGGCTGCAGCTACGTCAGCCAACCCTTAGCTGCTCTAACCTTCTGTTCCCCATGATGCCTGCCCCGGGGCAGGGCTTTCACCTGGGACAGTTGTTTCTAGCGTGCTCCTTAAAGCCCCTGGGCGGCACAGTGGGAAAGGGCTCGGCTATTAACTGAAGAGCTGGCCTTTAAACCTCCCCACAGGTGCCTGGAAGAAAACCATCGGAGCAGTTCTTCTCTGAAACACGTGGGGTCACCCTAGGCTGGCTGGTTGGGGTTAGAGTGTGCCTCGCCTCGACACCCTGAGCAGCTCGTCAGGCTCAGCTGCAGGACCAGGGTTTACTGAGCAGCCACCACCCACTCTGCAGACTCTTCCTCCCAGCGCCCCCCAGCCCGCCCCAATGGCAGAGCACATACCGTAATTACCCTATATGTCTGTGTGGTTTTGTTTTATTCTACTTCTGAATTTTAAGCTTCATGGGACTAACTCTTGGGGCATCAGAGTGGGCACTAAAAGTAAGAGAGTAACTCACACGGTATTGTTACAAAATCAGGAAATGTTTATTAAACAAAAAGTATCAAGATGTGAAGCTGTTGTTTAACAACATGGCCCCTGGGGCCATTTCTGACCTCCTCTGGCTTCCTTGTTGCCACAGGCAGAGGTCAGAAGCGCCTCTTCTTCACCTCTTCTGACATCAGCTGTTTCAGTGTTTCACCCACGGCGCTGTATCAATAATTCGTTGCAATGAACACAACAGAATACATAGAATTACAGGGGCTACAATTATGGTCGTGCAGTGGTCACCAGTTGGGCTGTAAGCTTCAAGGTCAACCATTTGAAACCACGAACAGCTTTGAGGGAGAAAGACAGGCTTTCTACTCCTATAAAGAGCTAGCAGCCTCAGAAAAGCACGGCCCATTCTACCCTGTCCTGTAGGGTCACTCTGAGGCGGTATTGAATGGAGGGCAGTGAAGTTTTGTTGTTTTTGTTTAATAGGTTGTCCCACATCAGATCAGTAGACAATAAGGATATGGCCATTGGTCCACAGCACTACCACTCCTCGGCCAGCAGCCAGTCTCTCTCCTGTCCTCAGCTGCATGCGCCCTTGGCCTCTGCCTTCCTAGACCAGGAAGCTTATCTGTTGCCCTGGCTCCCACCCCATAGTCTGGGGTCAGATGAGGAGAGGGTACCCCATCATCTTGGTGCTGCTCCACTGAGTCTCCGCACTAGTCTCTGGTGCCTCTGGTCTCAGCCTCTGCCATTCAGATAGCGATCTAGGACATGTCCTTCCAGTGGTCCCAGGTGGCTCTTATCAACAGGAATGGCTTTGATGGAGGTGTGGTTTTCTTTGAGCTGGCCACACCCTTTAAGGAAAGGGAGGGTGGTGTCTTGTCATACTCTAGTAGAGTCTAAAGACCCAAGGAAACTAGGGGTGTGATTGGGTTCACACCAGCACCTAAGGTCTCAACTTCACCCCACCTTAATCCAGTCCATTAGGATAGCAGTTGCCTCTCTCCACAATGGGACTGTGGCCACAGGCACCGAGTCCAGAATTAGAACCCACGGAATTGAGGCTCTCTGCCATCAAGTGAATTCTGACTCAGTAGTGACTACAGGACAGGGTAGACCTGCCCTGTGGGTTTCCAAGACCAAGGTTTTATGGGAGGAGAAAGCCTTTGCTTTCTTATGAAGAACAGCTAGTGGTTTTGAACTGCTACCCTTGAAGCTAACAGCGTCAAGGCATGGTGGTTACTGTGCCGCCACGCGACCAGGGCTGCTGGGAATTATGGCTAGAAGGGCCACATGAGCTGACTGCATCTCATCCTTCATCTAAATGTGTACACTCTGAAGGTGGTGGTTTATCTCCCTAACTCTTCCCTGAGGAATTCTACACTCTTAATTTAGATCACAGGGGGAGGCGGAGGGGGAGGAAGCATTTAGGAACTAGAGGAACGTTGTATGTTTCATCTTTGTCAACCTGCACCCTGACTGGCTTATCTCCACGTGACCCTTCTGTAAGGGGATGTCCAGTTGCCTACAGATGGGCTTTGGGTCCCCACTCCCCACTCCACACTTCCCCTCATTCACAGTGATATGATATTTTTGTTCTTTGATGTCTGGTACCTGATCCCTTTGGCACTTCGTGATCACACAGGTTGGTGTGCTTCTTCCATGTGGGCTTCTGAGCTAGATGGCCACTTGTTTACCTTCAAGTTTAGACACTATCTTTTGATAGCTGGGCTCCATCAGCTTTCTTCACATTTGCTTATGCACCCACTTTGT